AAAAAAAACATGTTTACTATTAAGCAATATAAAATTGATTAATAGAAATATTAACAGATGTTTTTTTTTTTTGCAATATCATTTCTGTATTATTTACGTATATTAGGCTGGGCCCTTTCGTTTGGCTGATATATTTTCAAATAACTATAATATTTTCTAAGAACTTTATCTGTGTGAACATGGATTCATGTCTAATAGGAAACATATCTGTTTGACTTGTTATCAGATTTGTGACGGATCCGATGAATCATTTGAATGTTAAGTCAACAGTATTGAATGGATAGCAAAAGCATGATAACTAGGCGGTAATAATATAACACAGATATATCATTATATTTAAAGTTAAAGCTGTCAAAACTATACTTTTATCATTACTGATTATAAAATTAGGTCATTATTTCGATAGTAACAAAATTAGAGTATATAGAATTTGAAGATATGTATATAATTTGGATCTTAAAAATACATACATATTTTACCTATTTTCTCTTTATATGACAAAAGAAACTTTAAATTGTGCCTATAAATAAAGCATTAAAATATTATCCTTTATTTTTATTTTTCTCTTTTGTTGCAACAAAACAGATTTTTCGTCATGGTAACATTAATAGAGCTTCCAGACATCTTTTTTGTTGATAATCATCAGCAAACTACATGCTCATCATACAAACACTTAAATTGTCATGAGGAAGAGATTGAGGAGTTTTATATGACTGAAAACATTTAAACAAGGGAAAAACTTATTATAGGGATGCCTTGGTTTAATCGACTGGAAGGTGATATGATTATAAATATGTACGAACATTTGTTTGTATCCATGACTTTTGTCGCGGAGGGAGGAGAGGGAGAGCAGACAGGGAGAGAGGGGAGGAGGGGGAAAAAAAGGAAAGAGGGAGAAACCAGAGGAACAGGACAGGAACGCCGGAACGAAAACGAAACGAACGACGAAAAAGAAACGAACGAAACGAACGAACGAAACAACGAAACGAACGACGACAACGAAAACGAACGAACGAACGAACGAACGAACGAACGAAACGAACGAACGAGACGAAACGAACGAACGAACGAACGAAGAACGAACGAACGAACGAACGAACGAACGAACGAACGAACGAACGAACGAACGAACGAACGAAAACGAACGAACGAACGAAAACGAACGACGAACGAACGAACGAAACGAACGAAACGAAACGAACGAACGAACGAACGACTAACGAACGAACGAACGAACGAACGAACGAACGAACGAACGAACGAAACGAACGAACGAACGAACAACGAAACGAACGAACGAACGAACGAAAACGACGAACGAAACGAAACGAACGAAACGAACGAACGAACGAACGAACGAACGAACGAACGAACGAACGAACGAACGAACGAACGAACGAACGAACGAACGAACGAACGAACGAACGAACGAACGAACGAAGAACGAACGAACAACGAACGAACGAACGAACGAACGAAACGAACGAACGAACGAACGAACGAACACGAACGAACGAACGAACGAACGAACGAACGAACTAACGAACGAACGAACGAAGAACGAACGAACGAACGAACGAACGAACGAACGAACGAACGAACGAACGAACGAACGAACGAAACGAACGAACGAACGAACGAAACGAACGAACGAACGAACGAACGAACGAACGAACTAACGAACGAACGAACGAAAACGAACGAAACGAACGAACTGAAAGAACGAACGAACGAACGAAAGAACGAACGAACGAACGAACGAACGAACGAACGAACGAACGAACGAACGAACGAACGAACGAACGAATCGAACGAACGAACGAACGAACGAACGAACGAACGAACGAACGAACGAACGAACGAACGAACGACGAACGAACGAACGAACGAACGAACGAACGAACGACGAACGAATCGAACGACGAACGAACGATACGAACGAACGAACGAACGAACGAACGAACGAACGAACGAACGAACGAACGAAACGAACGAACGAACGAACGAACGAACGAACGAACGAACGAACGAACGAACGAACGAACTAACGAACGAACGAACGAACGAAGAACGAACGAACGAACGAACGAACGAACGAACGAACGAACGAACGAACGAACGAACGAACGAACGAACGAACGAACGAACGAACGAACGAACGAACGAACGAACGAACGAACGAACTACGAACGAACGAACTAACTAACGAACGAACGAACGAAACGAAACGAACGAACGAACTAACGAACTAACGAACGAACTAACTAACTAACTAACTAACTAACTAACTAACTAACTAACTAACTAACTAACTAACTAACTAACTAACTAAACTAACTAAACTAACTACTAACTAACTAACTAACTAACTAACTAACTAACTAACTAACTAACTAACTAACTAACTAACTAACTAACTAACTAACTAACTAACTAACTAAACTAACTAACTAACTAACTAATGAAGGATTAAATTTAGACCGATTGTAATAAATTAATATACCATTATAAACTGTTAAAACCAAGTTTTATTGCGATTTTGAAAATGGACCTTATATGGTGGCAAGGGTGAAATGTTGTCGGACTTTGAGTATAATAATGATAAATTTAATAGACTCCAGAAATTGTTCTTTCCCTCTATAAAATTTTAGATTTTGAACAGAATTGTAAAGTAGCTGGAAAATAAATTGGAAATTAACACGGTTTTAAGTGAGGTAATCCAGGAGGCGTTGGCGATTTTAGAAGAGCCACTGATACCACTTCAAGCTCGACTGTTGTAAATCATAATTTAGAGACGCACAATTCTAGATGGCCTGGGAAGAGTGTAAAGTGTTAAGGGATCCGAAGAGTTATGTAGGAGAATATCAAAAGGATACATTTTTTTTTAAATTTATAACACAACTGAAATTAAAAAATGTAGTTTCTTATAAAATCTAAAAATTTCCCACTTTAATATTGGTCCCCCCTTAAGAATCGTTTTTGGTCACTATAGCATACGTTAAGTATTTATCAGATGTTAAAGAGATTATCATTAAGCTGCTTTATATTGTGTGTTTATTCTATTTTTCTATTTTTTCATCTTCGTTACAGTGATTTTGAAGAAAAGATAAAATTTCTATTAAGGAAATGACAAAAATTACTATTGTCTCTGCATTGTTCTCGACTTGGGTGATATTAAAGGTTAAGAACTAAGATGTTTAAAGACAACAGCAAAAAGGAAACGGACGGAAAAAAGAGGATATTTAATTTACTTAATAAACAATAAAACGAAAAAGAACAGGAAAAAAATACAGGATAATATTAAACTTGGAAAAAGGTGTGAAAAAATAATACAAAATTACCAGTAAATAGAGGAAGTTTTAGGATAAAAAAAACTGGAAGAAAAAAGTTGGACATTAACTACTGATTAATGATTATACGTTGGCATTATTCCCTAAAGGTCTACAAAAAGTAATTACATTTAGAAGGAAAATGTAAAGAAAAATTTAAGACGTTTATGTATTTTTTTATATGACAAAAAAAGGATATTTGATTTGACAATTTAAAATTTCTATTATTTTAAAAATGTCCTTGATTTCAGTTTCATAAATATTGTTGTAATTTATAGCTTAATTTGTTCGATTTTTATTTATTGCTGCTTTCAATTTTAAGTTTTTTTTGCTCTTTCCCTAAATATCCTTAAAGGATGTGTGTTACAGACATATGTACGTATGTATTTTTGTTCACTGATACATTGACACAATGAGCCATAAAGACATGTAAAAAGGAAAATATTTAGTGGTGGTTTTTATTTTTAAAAGGTTGAGTGATTCTGTTTCTTAAAAAAAATTGCCAAAACTTTGATTTGAAAAAAAAAAAAATGTAAAAATTAGAACATAAAAATTAATCTTCTTAATGTAATAAAGGTTGTTTAAAAAATAGAAAGGACCAAGTGTATGTGATCCCATTATGTTTTTCAAATCAGTTTAAAATTTACGATTGTGGTAAATGTATGACAATAAATCAACAGCAAACATGACAGGAAATTTTAGAGGGAGAGTCTCAATCAATTAGAGTATTCTAGTCTATAGTCTAGTCCATAGTCTATAGTCTAGTATAGTCTAGTCCTATAGTCTAGTCCTATAGTCTAGTCTATAGTCTAGTCTATAGTCTAGTCTATAGTCTAGTCTATAGTCTAGTCTAGTCTAGTCTAGTCTAGTAGTCTATAGTCTAGTCTCTAGTCTAGTCTATAGTCTAGTCTATAGTCTAGTCTATAGTCTAGTCTATAGTCTAGTCTATAGTCTAGTCTATAGTCTAGTCTATAGTCTAGTCTATAGTCTAGTATAGTCTAGTCTAGTCTATTAGTCTAGTCTAGTCTATAGTCTAGTCTATAGTCTAGTCTATGTCTAGTCTATAGTCTAGTCTATGTCTAGTCATAGTCTAGTCTATAGTCTAGGTCTATAGTCTAGTCTATAGTCTAGTCTATAGTCTAGTCTATAGTCTAGTCTATAGTCTAGTCTATGTCTAGTCTATAGTCTAGTCTAGTATAGTCTAGTCTAGTCTAGTCTATAGTCTAGTCTATAGTCTAGTCTATAGTCTAGTCTATAGTCTAGTCTAGTCTATAGTCTAGTCTATAGTAGTCTATAGTCTAGTCTATAGTCTAGTCTTAGTCTAGTCTATAGTCTTAGTCTATAGTCTAGTCTATAGTCTAGTCTATAGTCTAGTCTATAGTCTAGTCTATAGTCTAGTCTATAGTCTAGTCTATAGTCTAGTCTATAGTCTAGTCTATAGTCTAGTCTATAGTCTAGTCTATAGTCTAGTCTATAGTCTAGTCTATAGTCTAGTATAGTCTAGTCTATAGTCTAGTCTATAGTCTAGTCTATTGTCTAGTCTATAGTCTAGTCTATAGTCTAGTCTATAGTCTAGTCTATAGTCTAGTCTATAGTCTAGTCTATAGTCTAGGCTATAGTCTAGTCTATAGTCTAGTCTATAGTCTAGTCTATAGTCTAGGCTAGTCTAGTCTATAGTCTAGTCTATAGTCTAGTCTATAGTATAGTCTATAGTCTAGTCTATAGTCTAGTCTATAGTCTAGTCTATAGTCTAGTCTATAGTCTAGTCTATAGTCTAGTCTATAGTCTAGTCTATAGTCTAGTCTATAGTCTAGTCTATAGTCTAGTCTATAGTCTAGTCTATAGTCTAGTCTATAGTCTAGTCTATAGTCTAGTCTATAGTCTAGGCTATAGTCTAGTCTATAGTCTAGTCTATAGTCTAGTCTATAGTCTAGTCTATAGTCTAGTCTATAGTCTAGTCTATAGTCTAGTCTATAGTCTAGTCTATAGTCTAGTCTATAGTCTAGTCTAGTCTAGTCTAGTCTAGTCTAGTCTAGTCTAGTCTAGTCTAGTCTAGTCTAGTCTAGTCTAGTCTAGTCTAGTCTAGTCTAGTCTAGTCTAGTCTAGTCTAGTCTAGTCTAGTCTAGTCTAGTCTAGTCTAGTCTATAGTCTAGTCTAGTCTAGCCTAGTCTATAGTCTATAGTCTATAGTCTATAGTCTATAGTCTATAGTCTATAGTCTATAGTCTAGTCTAGTCTAGTCTAGTCTAGTCTAGTCTAGTCTAGTCTAGTCTGTAGTCTAGTCTAGTCTATAGTCTAGTCTATAGTCCAGTCTATAGACTAGTCTATAGTCTAGTCTATAGTCTAGTCTATAGTCTAGTCTATTGTGTAGTCTATAGTCTAGTCTATAGTCTAGTCTATAGTCTAGTCTATAGTCTAGTCTATAGTCTAGTCTATAGTCTAGTCTATAGTCTAGTCTATAGTCTAGTCTATTGTGTAGTCTATAGTCTAGTCTATAGTCTAGTCTATAGTCTAGTCTATAGTCTAGTCTATAGTCTAGTCAATTGTCTAGTCTATAGTCTAGTCTATAGTCTAGTCTATAGTCTAGTCTATAGTCTAGTCTATAGTCTAGTCTATAGTCTAGGCTATAGTCTAGTCTATAGTCTAGTCTATAGTCTAGTCTATAGTCTAGTCTATAGTCTAGTCTATAGTCTAGTCTATAGTCTAGTCTATAGTCTAGTCTATAGTCTAGTCTATAGTCTAGTCTATAGTCTAGTCTATAGTCTAGTCAATTGTCTAGTCTATAGTCTAGTCTATAGTCTAGTCTATAGACTAGTCTATAGTCTAGTCTATAGTCTAGTCTATAGTCTAGTCTATAGTCTAGTCTATAGTCTAGTCTATAGTCTAGTCTATAGTCTAGTCTATGGTCTAGTCTATAGTCTAGTCTATAGTCTAGTCTATAGTCTAGTCTATAGTCTAGTCTATAGTCTAGTCTAGTCTAGTCTAGTCTAGTCTAGTCTAGTCTAGTCTAGTCTATAGTCTAGTCTAGTCTAGTCTATAGTCTAGTCTATAGTCTAGTCTATAGTCTAGTCTATAGTCTAGTCTATAGTCTAGTCTATAGTCTAGTCTATAGTCTAGTCTATAGTCTAGTCTATAGTCTAGTCTATAGTCTAGTCTATAGTCTAGTCTATAGTCTAGTCTATAGTCTAGTCTATAGTCTAGTCTATTCTAAGGTCTAGTCTAAAGTGTAGCCTATCGAGTTTCATTTTTATATTGTTTCCCCATTCGGAAGTAAACATTTACATATAAATTCGTTCAGTGTATTTGAATTTAATTACCAAATTTCTTTCTATTTAGTTTTTAAAATTATTAAAAATAAACAATTATTTTATTTCATAATAAATATTATTTTTATCTATAAACATGCACTGCAAATCGCAAACGGTCATTCCGAAATGTTCATTATATGCCAAAACCTTCAAGAAAACACAACTTCCTGTTTACGATGCTTTCGGACCATTTCCCGATGAGCCCCTGATGTCAGGCATAGATCGAGTTTTATTTTTCTTTGGAGGCGGTAGAGTACAAAAATATTTCAATTCCGAATATTCCTCCATAGAGGAAGCTAGCAAAAGTGGTTGTTCCTCAGTGGTAAAATTTGAATCATTTTGTAAAGATCGTAAGGTGCTTGAGAAATGTTTAGTTAGAAATTCACCAACCTACAGTGTGATTCAAAATTGCAAATGTTGTCAATTTGATGATGTGTGTTCGCAGAAAAGTTTAATTTTTCGCGATTCCAAACTAAGTCCGAGAAAATGTATAAAAGAAAATTCGAGCAGACAAGAAAGTAAAAAAGTTGGCATACCTTTGAGAGTTTTAAAAAGATCATTTTCCTTGTGCTCCTTAGCTTGTCGCAAACTTAAGGAGAAGTTGTCATTGGCATTGCCCTCAACCATGACCACGCCTATTATTGAACCACATTGGTTGTGGACTAAAGTCGAAAACTATTCGAATGGTTGTCAAGTGTATGAAATATTTAAAAATTCCAGTATAACAACTCATCCCACAAAATTCGACACCTGTAGAGCTTCAAAAATTATATTTGTTATATTACCCACTGGTATAATAATGCCTTTTGAGACCCTACCGCGTCATTGAGTTATTTTTAAACAATTTTCATCTGTTTTTTGTAATTTTTATATTGTGTTGTTAATCGTTAAATTGGTAAAAATGTAAATGTAAATTTATGTAAAATTGCGATTTTATTTTTTATTTTTAATTATGAGTTATGAAGACGAGGTAACATTCCCAAAATATCGCAAAAATATTTCTTCTTTAATGAAAATGTTCAAATATTTTATTAGTTCTGAACTTATAATGGTGTTTTTTAATTTTTACCAGATGTTCGATCTCAATTCCTGTGCCCAAAACTTTGGTATTGATTCAAGTCTCATATGCTTTTTTACTATAATGTAGGGTGCGGTTTCAGTAAATCAAAACAAAACCGAAAAAAAAAAACTAAAAAAAGAAAAATGACAATTTGTATAAATTTCCAAAATTTAACTCATTTATTCTGGACCACAATTATAGTCCTAGCATTCTATGTATTATGGCTGTTATATAGTGTCGCTAAACAATATCGCTTAGATCGCTTTGCAAAACTGGAAGCCACACAAAAATTAAAACATAAAATCGAATCGAAGAAACAGCAATACATATGGGAAGCGGACAATTCTTCGAAACTCAGACAGCAATTACGGCAGCAGTCGCTGGATTAAGAAAACTAATCAAAATAAGATATGAGATCTGAAAAGACGGTGGTTATACCTGATGGTTGATCTTGATCAAAACCAATAAGGAGTACAAATGGATTCTTAATCCATAATTAGATAATGAGGTGAAACCATTAAGTCCCTAACCTATGTATCAGTATTTTACTTTATTTCGGATTGGAAAGGCCTTGAGTGGAGCAGTCAAGATGTATTAAAGTGGTTTTTATATTAAAGTTATAAAGTTGAATTACATTTTTCGTTTTTTGTTATTATTAAATTATTTATTACAGAAGTTATGTTCGTTTTGTTTAAAATCAATGAGGTTAAAGGTCAAATTTAGAAATACTTAAAATTGTGCGTAAAATATTCATATATTAATTTTCTCATTTCAATTTTATATTTTGAATTACTTGTTTTAAATCTTAGCTCAGAATCACTTTATGATCCAGCTAAATGATGTCTGATGATGATTCCCTATAAAGCGAATTATTAATTCTAGCAAATACTGTTGACTTTGGTTCATAAATGTTATTCTTTTAATGATCATAAATATCATATTTAATAGCAATTTAAGGGTCAATAATGAAGAATGTTATATTCTTCTGAATTTTTGTCGCGATTCATTATATTACTCATTTATTACTTTTTCGCTGAATTGCATTAATATTTTATGAATAAAAGCTATGTGATTTCGGTAAAAGCCCCTTTTATGGGCTCCTAGGTCTATTGTGAATTTTATCATAATTTCTACTGAATTCTGGGAATACTTATCGCACATGTCTGCCATTTAGTTTCTAGAGCATTGCATTTAAAATCCAATGGATAAGGCTAGATTGCCTCAGGGATAGGGACCCTGAATTTATATATATATTTTCCCGAACCATTCAACTGATGTTCATTAGTGTTACAAATGGGAATATAAAAAGGAAACCCATTTTTATGTTCGGACTAAATCTATATCTATATATAGGGACTATATATTAGAATCGAAATGTACCACAGTACCTCTATTCTCCAGTTAATATACTAGTCAAAAGGCTACTCCACAGAGTAGTTAATAGACTAGTCCAAAGAATAGTCAATAGACTAAACAATAGTCCGGTTTTTAGAATAGTCAATAAACTAGTTTCTCTAGTTTATAGACTCGTCCACAAACTAGTTAATAGACTACTCAAATGACTAATCCATAGACCTAGAATAGAATAGTCAATAGCTTCATTAATAGAATAGTTTATTCTCTATTTCGTAGTCCCAATAGACTAGTCAAATGACAACTCAGTGGACTAGTCTATAGTCTACTCAATAACGTAGTTAATAGAATAGTATATTCTCTAGTTCGTAGACTCGTCAATAGACTAGTCAAAAATTACTGCATGGACTACACAAAACACTACTCCATAGATTAGTTAATAGACCAGTCAATAGAATAGTCCATGGACTACTCAATAAAATATTCAATAGATTAGTCAATTCCCTATTTCGTATACTCGTCTATAGACTATTCTACAGACTAGTCAAAAAACTGATCCATGGGCTAGTCAAAAGACTACTCAATAGTCTATTCTCTATTTTATATACTTGTCAATAGATAATTCAAATAATTACTCCTTGGACTAGTCCATAGTCTACTCCATAGACAAGTCAAAAGACTACTCAATAAAGGAGTTAATCGATGAGTCAATAGTCGATAGACTAGTCTGTTCTATATTTCATAGACTAGTCCATAGAATAGTCAATAGGCTAGACAATTGTCTAATCCATAGACTAGTTAATGGAATATTCATTATACTAGGCCATTCTTTCTTTAATAGACTATTCCATAGACTAGTCAATACACTAGACCATAGACTGGAACATAGACTAATCTATTGACTAGTCCATAGAATAATAAATAGACTACACTAGTGAATAGAAACGACTACACCACATACTATTCCAAAGAGTGATCAATACATTACACAATAGACTGGTAAATGGAATAGTCAATAGACTAGTTCATTATCAAGTTAATATTTAGACTAGTCCCTAGATTAGACCAGACCATTGGACTAGACCATAGACTAGTAAAAGGGTAAGTCCATTGAATAGTTAATAGATTAGACCATAGACTAGTCATTAAACCAGCAATGTACTAGTCAAAAGACTAGACCATAGATTAGTCAAAAGGCTGGTCCATGGACTAGTTAGTAGTCCATAGACTATTCTGTAGACTAGTCAAACGACTACTTCATAGAGTAATGAATCAATTAGTTAATATACTTAATATATATTATGTATTAATTAATATAATAGTCAATAAATTAGTAAAAAGATAAGTTAAATAGACTACTTCATAGTCTAGAAAATATACTAGTCCATAGTCTTGTTTATAGATATAAATAGCGAAAGGAAATTTAGAACTTTTAACCCTAATAAGTACTATTTTTGAAGTTTGTACTATTTCTATTCACAATGCCTACCATTTCCATCCATTCTCGCTGGTCTGCACCGTTTAATACTCGTATTCTGAATCTACTCTATAACTTAAAGCTAAACAAATAAATCAAATCCTAAATAAAATCATTAATCAAAAAATCTTTAAGAGAACATAAATGTAAATAAATTTAAGAACAATCATTGCAATAAGCCAACAACAATCATATCAGGGAATAAAATTAAATTTCCTGGGTAATTTTTTTCAAACATCCTTTTTCTAACCCTTTTTTCACAAAAAGTAATACATAATGTTATTTTTCTCAGTCTAAGTGTATCCTGCTAAACAAAGTGACAATTTATATTGAGTTAATAGTTAAAGTCACAGGATATATAATCATATTCATTAACTCGGCTTGTATACTATTATTTATATATATATCTCCCCCACTTAAATAAAAATTCACATACATTTAGTTAGAAAACAAAAACGCCCACCTGTTTCCAGGTTAAAAATAAATATGTGCTCTAGGGTGGTTGTTTCGTAGGTTGGTCGGTAGTGTTATGCTGCTAAAAGTGGGTGGATGGGTAATGTTGTCGTACGTACAGACATATGAGCAATAACTGATGTTGGACTGATGATTTTACTTTGATGACAGATTATATTCATTACCACGGTTTATGTTTTTTTCTGTGTATGTATTCTCGTCTGGCTAGATTTTAAGGTATTTGTTACCATATCCATGACCAAGTCAGTTTGTCTGTTTTACAGACCGTCAGTCCGTCGTTTCATTATCTATCTATAAACACACAGTTATTTGAGTTTATTTTTTTTGTGACTAAATTATTATTTGAACGTTTGTTGTTGATGAATGATAAGAATTTTTCGTCAAATTTTTTTCACCAAATATAGGGGGGAATATAAATGAATGTCCTTTTTTTTTTGTTGGAAATATTCCCACACAATGTAAAAGTAAGCGGAATTTTGTTGTTGAAAAGCATTTTGTATGTTGCATGTTAATTATAATGTTTTCTGGTTTTAATATTTTTTTGCTGGTCTTTTATGTAAAACATTATAATAAACATTTAACAAAAATGTTTCCTTATTAACCACATACACATTGGGGGGGTAGAGGGAGGACAAAAATTCCAAACAAATACTTTCCATTATATCATTCTGTTGAAAGAAAATTAATCTGGGGGAAAAGTGTTTCATGTTTTTTTATAATTGATAATATCAATCATAACAAAAAAAAATTTGTTAACAATTAACAATAGTACAAGTATTCATGTATTTGTGATTATAGAAAAGCTAAAGAAATTGATTTACTTGCGTTACTTATTATTTGGTATTATTTTCAATTTAATAACCCTAAAATCCGATTTTATTCTTTAAAGTATGTTTCATATGTCTGTTTGTATTTTGCTGTTTAGAAAGGGATAAAAAGGCGATTCACATATGATATGTTTGTTGTTGAAATAGATTTGGGGAACGAAAACATGTTAAAGGGATATTAAAATAATTGTGTAAATTGAGCTGCGCTCATACGAAACTGGAAACATCTAGACAAGTCTATAATTTAATCCATAGTCTAGTCCTTCGTCTAGTCTACAGTCTAGTTTATAGTCTAGTCAATAGTTTAGTCTATAGTTTAGTATATAGTCTAGTATAAAGTCTAGTATAAAGTCTAGTCTATAGTCTAGTCTATAGTCTAGTCTATAGTCTAGTATAAAGTCTAGTATAAAGTCTAGTATAAAGTCTAGTCTATAGTCTAGTCTATAGTCTAGTCTATAGTCTAGTCTATAGTCTAGTCTAGTCTAGTCTATAGTCTAGTCTATAGTCTAGTCTATAGTCTAGTCTATAGTCTAGTCTATAGTCTAGTCTATAGTCTAGTCTATAGTCTAGTCTATAGTCTAGTCTATAGTCTAGTCTATAGTCTAGTCTATAGTCTAGTCTATAGTCTAGTCTATAGTCTAGTCTATAGTCTAGTCTATAGTCTAGTCTATAG